AGTGATTCAGCTATAGCTTACGCTAAAGACCGTGGCAGCTAGGACGGCCAACAGAGCAATTGCGACACTATCGGGAACTTCGTGGCTTATACTCTTGTATAGTCGCCAATAATGTGGATTTCTTTTACATCTCTCTATTGAAATTACGTGATGTGAATAGAGATATGTTCACCTCTACCTAGAGCGTTGTCAATTCTGGGAATCTAAAGCGTTTTTCGACTTTTGAGAAACTTTGTGGGGTTTTAATACGAGGATTTTACAGATTTTATAGGAAATTTACACTAATATCACTCAAAATAGTACTAGTAATAGTCCTCGATCTCACTGTCTTTACTCCGTTCAGTGATTGTAGTTATAAATCTTATTATCATATAATTGAAATACAGTATATCATATTTCTCCATTTCGTGAAGTTGATATTTCAAGTGTGAAAATAGCATACTCGAGGTTTCTCCATATAGTGAAAGTAAGAAAAAAAGGTATTTTACGACATAACTTTGCTTTCATTGGTAATTATATGATAAACAGAATATTACATAGTCGCTTGGAGATATCAATTTTATCTTCTCGTGTTGAAAATCTTTTCAACATGAAGATAAAACCCGTATCTTCGCGCGCCCATGAAATAATATCCTCTATTCATGTTTTCCAGATAATGCGGGTTGTCAAAAATTTTGTGCAATACTGAGTCAAGCAGTATGAATTCTTTTAAGAACTTTTATAATTCAGGATTTCACATGGGGCAGCCAGGAAAAAGTTCAACGTTGTAGTGGCATCCAATAATCAATGGAAAATGCAATTTAAGATGTATTCAAGGTGAAGTTTTGATTTCGTATTTGTTCATATGACCATCCGTTGGTCTTTCAAACTATTGAAAATAAGTAAAGAGATTTTGAAGTATAGCCTAATTCAGGCCCCACGGGCTGGTGACTGAGCGAATTTTGCTGTAGACTGCTATGTTCTCTCTGCCCCCAATAATTCATGATTCGCATGATAAAGAGTGCGCGCAGTCTAGCTGGTACGAGATCTCGTTTAGTTATGTTTTTCTGTGTGTTCATTGTAAGTTTCTCTGATAATGATGATTACAATCTTTTGCACTTGTGCTATTGGCAATATGCTTATAGCGTGCTGGCACTCGCCACAAAAAATGCCATTATGGTTAAACTGGTTTAAAATTATCTATATAACTTTAAAATAATTTTTTACACACTGCTGATTGGACAATAAGACTACGCTCGGGCCGGTCAAATTTGAGGACACCTCGGTTTTAGGAAAGTTCCCACTGTTCACACGGAACCGTCCACATTTCGGTACGGATTGAAGCGGAAGTGTTCACACGGATCCATTCATGCTTCGAAGTTACCTGTCCTCAAAGTGGAACGGCTTTTTAGCCGGCCCCAAACCTGAACACTTTGCCAGCCTCAGATAAGGCTAGTTCCAGAGTTCCAATATGAGAACGGTTCCGTGTGAACACTGTTTCAATCCGTACCGAAATGTGGACGGTTCCGTGTGAACAGTGCGGACATAAACTTATTGCCATACATCGCGCGACGAGATTAGATCTTTTGATATGTTATAAATGAAGAGGCTGAAAAAGAGCACAAATACGACATTTTTTAAAAGATCATATAGGTTTATCGGTCATTAGAAAGGCAAAAAGCTTTTAAAAAAATGGAAAAAAATGCTCTCCGAAACCCTGGGACTCTTAAACAATAGCTTTTACTTCGATAGGCTTCTCGTCGGGGAGATGACGTCATCTCCTCGACAAAGGAGTCGGCCGAGATGGCCCTGGGGACGAGGTTGAATAAAGGTTGAATAAGTTAAGCGAACCGTGTTACGCTGGAGAAAAACAGGCATGAAAGAACACTGGAAAAAATTTGATGTAAATAATTTCCATTAAATTTACAGAATTTTGGACACTTACATCATATTTACATCAAATTTACAACCTTAAAAGCGCGCGATTTTTTCCAGTGGAAATCGCTCAAAATTGAAGGAAATGGCCTGAAACTTCACAGAAATGTAAAAAAAAAAAAAAAAAAACACACACACACACAATACACAGGTAGAGATGTTTTATTTCTAAAAAGTACACAAATGCCTAGCTTGGGCTACCTGCGATCGCCTGGCTATTTTGATACTCAACTCAAACTCTTCAAAGGCGAAAATACATACTTGGATTTTCAAATTTTCTCACGAAGAATACACAGAAAGGTCACATTATATATATTTTATTTCATAAATTCGATGATAGGTTATTCATTAACTAAATAAGTTATGCAAGAGGCCCAGTTTTTTGAAGCGAGCCGTGTTCAAAACATGGATCGCCAGTCTATTTTGATGCTCAACTCCAACTCTTCAAAGGCGAAGAATACAAAGAAAGGTCACATATTTATTTTATTTCTTAAATTCGATGGTAGGTTTTTAGGTCTTTAATATCATTGCATAATTTCTTCAAAAAGTCTTGAAATCTGGTCTCTTTTCGTTGAATTTGACACTTCGGCATACGGACTGTCAGGTTACGGCCCTTGAGTGATCACGAACTTTTTGTGACTATCTGCTGTCCTAAATAAATAATAATAAAAGTCTTTTGTTTTGAGAGGGTAGCACGTAATAGTCCTTAGACTAATAAACTTGTGGCCCTCTATATATTCACTCATACTCACTACCTCAACATTCATTATTTTACTACACGACACTCCTCACAGCTAGTTTTTTGACTGAGGGAGGAAAACCAGCGGACCTGGAGAAAACCCTCGGAGCAAGGAAGAGAACCAGCTTACAAACTCAAATCACATATAGTCCCGGACTGGGAATCGAACCAGGACCCGCACAGCGCAACCTCGTTCCCAGGGCCATCACGGACTCCACAAAATGGCCGGTCGTCCAGCGATGATCGACCCTGGCAAACATTGATTATCACGTGATCAAATACTCCAAAATTCATGGAGTATTTGATCACGTGTCAATCTATTCAAAAATGTGTTCGCAACGTAAACCCAACGTTTTTAATCGGGCTAGCTGTGGTGGGTCGACATTTTGTTTATCTGACTGAACAAAAACATTTTAACTTAATTGTTTATTTCATAATTTCCATTCAATCGGCAATATAAGTAAAAGGAGTAGTTTCAGTTCATTCTAGAAGTCCTCAGGGGTTCTTGGAAAGAGAATGCGGCTGTAGATTAAGGTGTTTCGATCGTAATAAATAGCGTTTCGCGCGTATTTTTAAACTCCAAYTACGTCRCAAATKTCRWTTCCATTGCACTCAAATTTTCACAGAAGTAACAGTGATTATCGATAAATCTTTTTGATAAATTAATTTGCCAAAAAGCGAAGCCATTTGAAAATTCTGATTCTGAAAATTCTTCTGACTAAATTCAGTAAATAAAGAAATTCATTCTGACAGATAGAGAAGCGTTCATCTGAAAAGATAAAAACTTTTTCCACAGCCCTAAAACGGAAAGGAAAGGAAAAAAAAGAGAGCCCACTCCGCCTCCCCACCCCCTCCCCTTCCGTTTCCCCTCTCCCCCTTCCCCTAGAGCCGCCACGCAGGCTAAAGAATTCGATTTTGATCCTTTTTTGAACTCTGATAATAAAGGGACTTGATTGCCACTTTTAAATCCACATGGATCCACCCTTGGAGATTAACAAACTATAGATTTAAGTCAAAATTTCACTGGGAGAGATGGCACGAGTTGTGGAAATAAAGAGAGTTAGCGAGTTACTGGCGAGTTAGCAATAAAGGAAGCTTAGTAATCCTGATTTGTCGTGAAATGCGACAATAGTAATATCACTACCATAAAATACGGCTCTTTCTTCAATAGAGTCCATGTACATTTCCCAACCTTTGCCAAGGGAAATGTTTCCGATACTGCAATTCTCTTCGCGAAAAATTATATTCCTGTTTGATAATAAATAAATGAAAATAAAGTGTTTGTCATGACATGATTGACAACATGTATTACCCAGATTACAATTTTATTTCCCAGTTACACTATTTTTCGTATGACATAACATCTAATGTTGTATTTCGATTGGATATTTTTTGACCCATTTCAAGTCAGGCAATACAAGTTCTATGGTGCTTTGATATTATCTCTAACCCAAGGCGTCAACTTCATCATATTGGAATAGACGCCGTACTTATGGGGTCGGGCACATCCATCTCCCCACGACACTAACCCTGTCAGGTAGAATCTCCCTCCTTTCTTACAAGAAAGTGGACCGCCACTATCATATTCGCAAGCATCGACGCCACCTTCCTCGAAACCAGCACACAGAGAAACGTCATGGACTCGCCCTCCGTAAGATTTTTCGAGATTGCACACCTCATTGGAAACAAGCTTTACTTTCGCTTCTCTTAAAGCATCGGGTTGAGAGCCTTGGTACTTGGTGTGGCCCCATCCGGTGACGTAGCATTCTTCACCCCATTCGAACCTCATGTTGTTTTTCAAGAGGCAAATCGGCCTGATAAACTTATCAAACTTAATTGGCGAAGATAGCTTCAAAAGAGCTAAAAATAAAACGAATAAAAGTTATCCAGAAAAGCGTAAAACATACAGGAAAAAATATTATTACTAGGTCATGATTTGCTGCAGGAGCCAATAACGTTTGTAGTTTTTAATGTCGTATTTTAGATATCGCTAAACCAGCAAGCCAAACGCTAGCTTGGGTTGCCTGCGATCAAGACAGCACTAAACCTACCAATGTCATTGTCGAGGTAATAGCTATTACCAGTCGCGTCTAAATATTTCAGTACGTAGCCAGGATGCAAAACAATCTTCTCGACGTTCCTGCTTTTTTCATATTCTTCAAACTCACGAAGTTTATGTTCCCCGAGCTTCACGGTGAAATATTCAGGGTGGTCTGTGTTGTCATGAGGCCAAGCTATAAGGTTCAGAGATATCATTACTTTTGAATTTGACATGGAACGCGAGACGGCATGCCCTGAGCTCTCTCACACGAGGGAGTACATACAGCGCGTATCTATTTCATTTATGATATGACGTCAAGACATAACTAACCAATCAGCGTCCCCCTGAGACTAGCAAATGTTCAAAGTATTATGGCAGTTTTTCAAGTGCAATGAAAGGAAAGTGAGCAAAGTATTGTGGGGTACAGTAAATACCTCCTGTTATCAACCAACAGGGTTAAGAACCACTTGGGAGAAATTTGCTATTTTAATACCACTTTACATAAGACGTTTTTAACTAAATATCATTAAGCGGCTTATTACTAGATGAACTCCACAATTTACTTGCATAGTAGGGACACATTTTGCTCATGTGTAATTAAACAAGTAGCTCATAACTGTGACCGTAATCGTACTGTAACCAAATTCTAGTGCCCCATTGGTTCACAAAAATTGTGCAGGCCAGATCCGGTAACTGTGCGGTAATCGTGCGGTAATGGTGTCCCACTCATACGAAATCCACTCTATGAGTTTGGGTGAAACTGAACTTCACGTAATTTTACAGTTAAGTATACTGTCGTGAATTGTGAAATGATTTGGTTATTCCTTAATCGAAAGTCATGAGTCACATCAATCACACCAATCTTTATCAATTATTCTTGTGATGACAAACAATACTGATAACAAACAATACTTATCCGGTTCATAGCAATTAAGAAGCTAACTAAAGCACCTCTTAGACTTTTGCTGGACTGTGAGAAAAGGTTCTTTACATCAGGCTGCCCAACTATTCCTTGCTACGTTTATTTAGCGACGTGCGCTCTTAGTGAAATGCAAATTACCTGTGGTATTACGCCACGATCCCGTGCCTCGCGGGATATAAACTAGTCTGCAGGACAGGAAAGTGAGTAAAGTATTATTGTTATATTTAAGTATATGACGTACCTACGCAATGTCCAGCGGTAACAACCCACATATCATTGATGAGTGAGCCTCCACAGTAGTGAGTTCCGTTTATGAACAATGCAATCTGCCACGGCCACGAACCCTGCTTACTCTCCTCGCCACCCACAATTCTTTTATCTTGATCCTTTTTGTTAAGAAATCGCTTTCCACATATTTTTTCACTTCTTTTAAGGGGTTTCGGTCCCCTGAGAACTACAAAAAATTTTGAATACGTTAAAACGACTTTTTATACTCACAATCCACGCCAATAACCTTGTTTATTCTAGACACTCATTTGTACAACTTCAACCTAGGCAAAAACTCGCTGAAGCAAACTTTAATGTATGCATGACGCCATATTTTCTCAAACAAGTTAATTGGATTTGATGATTCTCTATTGTTCTTTGGATTCTTGCATGAGGTTATCAATTTTGTGGTTAACCGTGAGCCGTGATGAAACGGCTGAAAAATTAGCCCTGAGTCGTGAAAATGAGAAAAAAATCCGTGAAACGCCTTAAAAATTAGCCCTGGTTGGCAGAGCGTAATTTATTTCGCTTGCGAAGGGCCGGGGTAGTAATTAACTTTTTTGATTTTTTTGGCTCATTTCTCAATTTCCCCCCCCCCCCCCCTTCCCCCTTCCCCTCCTCCTGATAAACATTTCGCTACTAATCGATCGAGTAGTACTATTGAAATCTTTATATGCATATGTTGACAAAACCTACCTCTACTTCCACGCCAAATACCCGCGTCACCCTCAGTTTCTTCATCAAAAACTTTGAATCAAAGTATTCAGAATCAAGTACTATGAAAAACATTTTTAGTTACTATAAAATCAATACACTTTTGGCAGAACTTACCACCTGGATATTGACTCTCGGTTTTCCACACTCCTACGGCCACAAGAAAAGTGATGAACCAAAGAGACTTCATTCTTGATCTATTCTTGAACAACAATGAAAAGCTTTTGAATAAAAGATCAACCGTGTGTAATGGTAGCAGTCTCCCCGTTTGCGCAATATACACGTTGGCTCAATGTGGTCACTTGACCAGCACAGGTAGTGTTGATTAGACTGATAGTTCGTAATGTGCTCCCGTGAATTTACACAAATTTTCATGTGCGAGCTACCAATAAGTAGGCTTAGGCCCTGATTATACGTCTCCCCGCCAGGGGATGCAAAACCAAAGAAATTAGCCCAGTCAATTACGCCATCACGCTTCATACAATCAGGTCATTGACATATCCATCAAGTTTTCGATAATCCCGAAGCAAACAAGGGAGCCAAAAGGATATAGATACAATTATTATTTGCCTGAAATTATATTTTGCCTTTTTTACTAACCGCGAAAAAACCTCAGTGGAAACCTCCCTCTTTTCCTACTTGAATCCCCTGGAAACTCCTGCGCACTTCAATGGGCTACCCCACAAGATTCTACACCTTTGAATAGTTATAATAATATATCATGCACAATCTATCATGTCGATGTCGTTTCACTAAATCATTCAATAGCTAACGACTTAACAGGCGAGAGGATTCATAAAAAAATAGATTTTACAAAATCTGTCTGAACCACAGTAAATCCCTGAATAGTATTTCTTTGAATTGTACGCATGGCCAGTAGTTAGGCGACAGCTTTGTTTTGCCCTTAAAGTGTCTCAATAGGGAATGGATCAATGTCCAGAACACTAACGTGTCAATGCAAAAACGAAGTGAGGATTAACCGAAAGGAAAAAAAATCAAGCTCCTGCAAGTTTTAGTCTTTGAGATTCATATTCGATAGATTTTAATGATGCTTTGAGTTTGTTTTAACTTTCTCTCAATTTCTACGTCTCCGTCGCTTGTGCAGCGACGATAATGACTTTTCCAACAAATGCATGGAGATGCGTTCCTTTTTTCTTAATCGTAACTATCCTCCACATGTCATTGATCAAGCTCTGCGTAAAATCTCTGGCATTGATCGTAACACTGCTCTCACACCTAAGGTTCGTGCTCCTAATGACCGTATTCCTTTCACTCTTACGTATCATCCTATTAACAGTTCTATTAAGCCTATTATTAATTGTAATTACTTCTTACTCACTTCTGAAACTAACACTTCTCGCATCTTTAACGACCGACCCCTCTTCTCTAATAAACGTGACCGTAACCTTCGTTCCTTCCTAGTCAAAGGCGTTTTTACTCGGGGTTCCTGTGGAACGCCGAGTATTAATTTCGGCGTTATTATTTTTTTTTTTTTATTTTTTTTCGCATTCATCGCCAAATCGCGGCCAGACTAGCCAGGCGTTCCTAGCCTGTCTTGTCTCGTCCCATGCGTCAAGTGCTAATTGCAGCAGCTTCTTCGTCGATGGACTTATGGTATTGCTTCTTCTTCAAAAATACGCTAAAATCACTTACAAATCCACAAACAATTCGCGGTATAGACACACTAAAAGATGTCGACCGTTTTCGGAATGGGCTTTTTGAAAAATACCGCGAATTTATCAAGCTTATTGTGACTTAAGTTATGATACACAAGCCATTTAATCTATCCAAAACCAATCATGAACTAATAGAAAGCTACTGATATTCAAAGCTATAATTACTATACCGACATGATTATAATTCAGAAGGAGCCGTTCTTCTAAATAAATGTTCTTGTACGATTTTTTTTCATGCTTGGAAAGAAATTTTTAGCTACATTGATGACAATCGCACAACAAAATGTGGCGCCACTAAAAATATAATTGTTATAGTTTTTCAAATGAAAGACGTTGCCAATATTCTATGTATCATTAAACCAAGAGACAACGCTAAAAAGAACCCCGAGTGCACGCTGACAAGCGTCTTGTTCATTCTAATAATGATCCCGGTACTTTTCGTTGCTCACGTAAAATTTGTAACACTTGTCCGTACATTGTYTCGCAYACTTCCATTGCTGGTCCTAACTCGTCACTCAGAATCACTGATCACTTTGAATGTACCACCTCTAATGTTGTATATTGCATTAAATGTTCGCTTTGCAATTTGTTGTTTGTCGGCGAGACTGGCAGTCGTCTTGGCGATCGTATCCGCGAACATATTTATAGTTCTTAATAAGCCTGTTTCCCGCCATTTTAACCTACCCAACCATTCACTTTCTAACTTTATTGTTTTTGGTTTGTCTTTGATTAGCGGCAATAATGATTGTCGCAAAACCAAAGAAATGCGGCTCATTCACCAATTGGGCACTTATAATCCCCATGGGTTGAATGAACGCTTTGTTTTCAGATAGGTTGTTTATCTTTTGTTCCCTTTTTAGTACCTTTATTGTTTATTTCACGTTACCATGCCTACTATTGGTCTATTTTCCTTCCTACTCCTACTATATAAACTCACCCTTTACCTATTTTCATCACTTTTACTCCGACGAAGGATTAACGTCCGAAACGTCAATAAGTTATTTCTCATACTTTTTTTACGGTGTTAAATTTATCTTTTTACATAACTATTCTCTTAACGTGCAGCCTTGTTTTGAATAAAGTTGTCACTAATCCATGATTTACTCAAACTCTTAGAATTGTATCCTTGGTCGCGCAGCCAGGCGAGAAGAATGTTCACCTTGACGAGAAAATTAAAGGCTGCAAATGATGATCTGAACAAATTTTAATCTTTCTAACGGTGTCACAATTATTACAGTATTTTTATGACTAGTAGAAATATTAGCAGTTTTTAAAAAACTGGATGTTGAAAAGTAACTATATCAGAGGAAAACAACTTGTTGCTGGGGATTACACGCAAGGTTGTTATTTGATTTCGTATTTGTTCATAAGACTATCCGTTGGTATTATAAACCATTGAAGAGGTAAAGAGTCTTTCAAAAATACCACCCCTCAATGAAATCCCTTTTACTAATTTGAATTGAATTGGGAGATCATTCTACCATCCAACATCTCAGTGACAAGTTTGTCAAAGACAGTGCCACAGTTGCAGCTATTTTACTAGTTCAGGCTTTTTCACGTCTGTCGTAATGATCTTCTTAACTTTACGACACTGCTGATTATAGTGATAGTTTGTGTTGTTAGTGATGGCCTTTCTGAAATTCAAAGCCAGGCTACCAGTATGAAAATAAAACCGAACCTCATGAAAGTCCATGCTCACTATTTCTAGCTTGAGCCTATCCTTGGGTGACTACTCACCGACTAGTAGCAATTAATTGTTCGAAATTTTCAAAGATAAGAGAGAATGTATGGTTTCTGGGCCGGACGTTGTCCTAAAGCTCATACTAGTCCAGGGGCTTATTGACCGGGTGGTGGTGGGCACATCCCCTCCCGAGTTCTTGCATTCTTCAGTACTTTCTTTTATTTTTGTGCTTCGTTTGTCATCATTCTTATGGAGTGTACCCCTCTCAGTGTCCTGCACCCTTCTCTAAAGAAAATTCTGGGTCCGCCTTATATTCTTCGTTCTTTTTCCGAGTTTTAACGCTTGCTGCTCTGAAATTACTTATTCGAACACGCTCTCCTTGCAGCTATACTTGAGGGCGGATCCAGGGGAGGTGCTTTGGGTGTGGACGCACCCCCCTTTTCGAACGACATAATTTTTTTATATATCAGTCTAAACGTTTTTGTGCTGTTTATACTCCTGTTGTACTTTTATCAAGAAAGCGCTAGTAGCATACACAACATGTGTCTGCCACTATACTGCTAATAATCTATTTGAGTAGTGTAGTCAAAAATACGTTGCAATAAAAGTCAATTTCCTTTCGATAAAATTGTGCATATTTCTCTTGCTCTAGACAATACCCAGCTAACAAAATTGATCAGTTCCATCTGCTGTACTTAGTTTTTAGGTATACATTATTGCTGACAAAAGCACCCCCCCCCCCTTATAAAATGCTGGATCCGCCCCTGATAATAATCTTAGTACGTACCATTCGTTTCTTGGTTATTGCTTCAAGCAATATCGCTTTTGTCACGAATCACCGGTGGGGCCTTTTTGAATTTCGGCGAAATGGCATGGTAGACTTCATACCTCACCCACGTGATTTGCAATTCATTGTGAGATCAGTTTCTTGAGAAAAGAAATCCGCCATGTTGTCCCAAACATATCCTACAATGTATTGCGTAGATGGTATATGACGTGAAAGCTTTTGAGTTCTATTTGTTTTTTGGCTTTTTGGTTCCGCAGATAGTTTTTTCAGTCCATAAAAGAAGAAGAAAGAAATTCTGATTTCATTTATTGGTTTAGGATTTTCCAATATTTTTCATATGAATGAGATCCGGGTTTATATAATATATATGAAATATTGTCATTACAATTTATAATTTTAGTAACCTTTTTTAGTAGAACCTACACTATATTGCGCTATTTAATAATATCTTGTTTTCAATAATTTTTAAATTATTCAAAACTAATTTGTTCACTGTCACCAAAGAAATAACGGCTTATGAAATGTTTGTTCGATTTCTTCCCTTTCTTACAAACGAATTAAACCTATAAAAAGCTGACAATTCCTAAAGCTGACGAGTATTACACGTAATAATTCAAGATTGCTTCACATTTTTCTTGCTTTCCTGATATGAGTTCTGGCTCGCCATTTTCCATAACATATTTCTGAAATAAAAAGATCATTTGTTACAATGTTGACCTAAAATTAAACCAATTCATTTGAGTTTCAACATCATTTATTATTCCAAAGATTAATGAAAGGATCACGCAAAAAGGTTACCTCCAGTTCCTCTAGTGAAGTTGAACCCTTTTCGATCTTGGCTCCAATGTCCTTATCGTAAGAGCTGTATCGTTCCTAAATTTAATATCATTACATTCGGCTGTTAGCATATAACGTTTAATAAAGAGATTTTTCAATGGCTTGCTTTGAGGGTTATCGGTTTGAACCAATACTGCTACCATAAGTAGACTCTTTTTTCTCTTTGACGAAACTCTAAGCCTCACATAATATTACGATATTTAGACTAAACAAGGATTACATACCTTGACAAGATTGCCAAGCTTGCCTTCTTCAATAAGCTTAACAGCTGACTTTAAGCCACGAGCAAAGCTATCCATCGCACCTGAAAATAAACCGTCAAAATGCATAGACGTTCCCATAAAATGCTCTGTGTATGATTTGTAGTATTTATTGACATATTAATATAAATTGGAGTTTATAAGAATAACAGAACATTACATGGTCGCTTTGAGATTCAAATTGTATCTTCTCATTCTCTCTTCGCTCACTCGTGAGATTTCTATCGGACACTCGAAGATAAAATCCATATCTCCGCGCACCCATGTGATATTCTCTAATTAATACTCTTTATCAATTAACTTATTTTTGCACTTTATTTTCGCACGGTGGAACTGCTAGGTATACCACATCAACACCTCAATGACCGCTGACCATGCAATGATAGAAAGAACGTGCATGATTGGGCTTGATGCGAATTTACATCTATCATGGGAAACAGTTTTAAAATCTGACTAATCTTACCGATGTGGGAAATGAACATATCCTCGACGTCTGTTGATTCCCGGCGTACTTTGCAGTCAAAGTTCAAGCCTCCTGGATCCAAGCCATTCTGCTCAATTACAACCTAACAATTAAAGAATTTTATAGGAAAAGTGCATCGACGCCATTTTGTATTACATGCATCACCACTTTGAATGCAAGAATGGGACTTGTAGTCCTCGCACTTTTTATAGCCCCTAAAAAACCTCCCTAAAAACCGTTTTTATATATTTTTTATTTACAAGCGATCCAGATACTTCTTCTTGGCAAGAAAACTAAGCGTAAACAGCTGAGGATGACTACTTTAGCAAAATGGCGTCGCTGCACACTGCGCAATTCTAAAAGTACTTTCATACATTAAGACCTCATCACACGCGAGCGATGAAGAACTGAACAAGAATAGACATGGTGCACTTAGAGATAATTTGGTGATCACGGCTTTGGAGTCTGAAAAGATCAAGGAAAATACCTTCATGACTAAGGCACAGTCTTTGATATCCATTGGGAACTGATCAGTGTCCCATCCCAGATCAGGTGAACCTGTGTTTGAATCAATTGATCCCAGTAAACCAAACCTACCAACATGAAAAAATATTGACACACTGACTTAGAAGAAAATGTACGGCTCAATTTTGAGAATTGCAGCTACTGACAATTATCACGATTACACAGTAATTTTTTTTTTGAATATTGAATAAAGTGTTACTGAATAATGCATTCTAAGATCGAAGTAAAGTTGCTGCTAGTAAACTCCAAGATAGCCGCGTTACAAAATATCATTTATAAACTTAATTGCTTTTATTTTCCATTGAAGTTCTTGACTGTACGAAGCGAAATAGTCACTTTGTGACTATAAAACTCAGTCTTGGAATACACTATCTTCAGTATTCAACGTTCTCTGAATTATAAAAAWTTTGCATTCTCCATTGTCTCTTACTTTGAAGCAACCACAACATCATGTTCATATGTGTGCCCAGCAAGGGTGGTGTGGTTCGGTTCAATGTTTAACTGTTAAGCAACGTAAAGTACGGCAACATCAGTAAATTGTACATGATATTATATATAACAAAAAACAGACATGTGGATACATAATGACTTTTTTTGTAATTTTGAGGCATTGTTTGCAATACCTTGTTTAAGAGAAGGCATGTAAAAAATTTCACAGTTCAACAACCTTAAGAGTGTCTGCCCGTCATACCATCATCACCACCACTAGTCCACAGTCTTGAGCCTGCAAAGAATCTCGCGGGGATTGCGATATATACTATATAATCATTTTCAGTTCTAGCTCTTGTAGCGAATATAACTTTGAAGCACATTGACGGTTTAATAATGTGGAACATTTTCAAGGAAAATGTTTCATGCCGAGATTTGCTTGATGGGTTTAATACCCGCAATAGTATTGTTGGCCTCCATTGAATTCGAATCACATCTAGGCAAATATATTTTGAGATTCTTTGCAGTCTCAAGACTGTGAATTGTGTCCTGGTGACGACAACCTTTTTTGAAATAGGTGTATACCGGTAGCCGAAGTCTCCTCTCGCAGCCGTTAACGTCTACCAGAGAAGATGGCTACGGTAGCAGCGGTGGATCACGTATTTTTCYACACGAGTCCAGATTTCCATACCTCTTTTACTACACGAGTGCAGTCTGTCAGTCCATAGTTCAATTGTTCAATCCTAACATCAGTTTGCCTGCCTATCTATCTCATTCACTGTTTTATCCGTCTATCCGGCCATCATTCAATCATGTTTTCAGTCTCAACATTTTTTGTTTTATTAGAATTATAATATGATACCTTGAAATCGTTGTCCAATCCATAGGTCTTCAAAAATCCAATGACCGTCTGTGCATCTACAATGAATCAACGGCAGAGTCATGGAATAATAATACTCTGGAAGACTCACTTTAAAAATGTCGTGAAATACTAACCAAATTGCGCAACTGTACAAAATCTGAGTAGTATAGATTTGTACTAAAACTTGACTTGAAGAAAGACGGTAATGAATGCTTCATTTGTATCAGGGACAATTCAATTTAATTTGCGTAGAGTGATCGCACTTAAACTGTGCAACTTTGCAATCTAAATAGTTGTATTTAGTAAATCGTGCATGCGGTAAGAAAATTAAATTGAATTGATCACAAAGCATTCACGTCTAACTTCAGGTCCACTTTTAGTACAAATTTGTGCTACTTAGATTTTGTACAGTTGCATGGTTTAAGTGCGATCTATTTCAACCAGTTAACTATAGAGTAAAGTCATTTAAACCGTGAAACAAAATGTGACTATTAAAGTGTGATAGTCAAATAGAAACAAAAGAAAACAATGCAATTAGAGCGTACTGAGGTGTATTAAGTGTAATATCTATTTCACTGGTTTTTAACTTAACTCTAGGAAAACTCTAGTACTTTTTCAAGCTTTCATTGTTCGCACTCTCACTCTCACTCACACTCTAGCAAAACTAAGTTCACTAGCTAGTTTATGAACATCTGAGACAAAAATAAATTGAAGTTTTGAGATTTGTAAATTATTGTCAGGTATTTCCCTACATCCCACGTACCGACCAGTCTCAGCTTCTATGATTTTGAACCAATGTACATTGATTAATTCTTACCATAGTCATATTGATGTTTAGTCGGTTCTTTAGGTTTTGGCTCAATGAGTAGTTGTCCCGTAAACCCTATCTTCTCCTTATATGCTGGAATAAATAGCACTATGTTTAGCAATGTCAATCAATATATTAAACTACCAATCAAAAACTAGCAGTGAGGAACACATACTGCAGATCTAGCGTTTCACTGTCTAAATCATCTAAATTATCTAATTCGTACTAATTTTCGCGAACTTAAAGGACTATGGTTTACCAGCATTCAATGCGGTCGTATTTTAGATTCATATACGGAAAATGACTTCAATGATCTATTCATTTGCAATCCATTTCCATCCGTCAGTTAAAGTTAAATCTTACAATACATGTATCTCCATTTGTACAGGATAATAAAGGGCAAGTTTTTGCTTATATTACGATTAGTACGAATAAGGTACATCAACTTGTTCAGCAAGCGATATTGAATTTTGCCTTTGTACCTATAACCATGCAGAAGAAGTTGGCCATATGATCCAATTCACGTCTGACATCAGTGTTCAGTAGTGTGTGATAGCCTTCTCTTCCTCCCCAGAACACTATGAAAAGACAAACTCAACATTATCATCACAGCTTTACCTTACAACATCCCCGAAGAGTTTTATTGATTCTACTGGAATTGAAAATAATATTGAAATTTTCAGGTGGTTTTAGATTCTATTTGGTACATTCAGATGAAATTGAAGAGTTCTTGATTTCCACTTTCAGTATATTTTTGAATTTATGTCATCATATTTTCAGCAAT